CAGGACACGGAGGTGAGTGGCGACTCCTTGTCTCCAGCCCTCCCTCCCTCCAAGCCCCTCTGGGTTCGGAGCCAGGCCTTGGTAGATTTTTTTTTTGGGAGGGTGGGGTTTAGCTGCTATAGTCATGTCGCCCCTGTGCTGATCACGGCATGGTGGGGCCGGGGGGGAGGGGTGGTTACGGACATCAGCTCGCACCCTGACACGCCAGGAGCGCTGAGGTTTGAAATGGTGCCAGGCTGGAGAAACGCCCTCTCTCTCCGGGAGCCGTTTTGAAGGAAACGCACAGGGGGCGTGGCTGTGAGCGGCAGGGGCTCTGGGCGTGGGAGGTGGGAGCACAGCTGACGGAGAGCCGCTGGGGAATCGAACCCGCAGCCTCCTTTAGGTGAGGACCCTGGCCAAGAAATAGCCGAACAAGATCTTCAGACTAGGGGGTTCCCAGTCTTGGTCCAGGGTACCCCAGTCCGGTGCGTCTTGTGGCTCAGGGGTCCCCAGTCCGGTGCGTCTTGTGGCTCAGGGGTCCCCAGTCCGGTGAGTCTTGTGGCTCAGGGGTCCCAAATCCAGGTCCTGGGTGGAGAATCACTCTCGGCTATCAGACTAACTGGCTGGGGCTCCCTCAGACCACAGCTGGGTTCCCCCGCTTCAGACCAGTCAGCTGTGGAGCAAGATGGGAACACGGCGTCTCTTATTGACACCTGTCTCGTCTTCTTGGCCGCTGGCAGGAAAAGACACTGCTGGACTCCGAAGATGTAGAGTTTGAGGACGAGACAGGGGTGAGTTAACAAAACACTGCAGCTCTGTTTTCGCCCCAGGTGAGATACTCTACTTTTTTCCTAATACAGTAGGTAACCCGTGGATCTGAATTATGGCCTCAGAACATTCCCAAAACAAACTGAAGCTAGAGATATAGTGTGGCATTAAAGCTGTGGGTGATTTTACCCGAGTCTGTGAATGTGGGTGAGGTGATCAGTGCAGTCTGCTATGTGTTTGGTTTCCTGCCACTGCCCTGGTAGCTCAGACAGGATTTGGTGTTGTAGGTTTTAGAGCAGCAACTGCATAAGCAGGGAAAAGCAGTTCACCTCATCTCATGAAAGCAGCGGCTCACAGACTTTTTGGCAGGAAGGCCAGTAGCGGTTGATTACAGTAAGATATACAGACTGTGCATACGTGTTCATTTGAATTTTTCTTCCTCCTTCCTCTCTCTCCGTCTCAGGAAGCGGACAGCCTGCTGGACTGGTGGTACACGGAGGAAGGTGAGCTTTACTGCCCCCTGTCTGTGGTGGATTTACAGAGATCTGACAGGGTGTGAATGCTTGTTGTGTTCCTGGGATTCAGCAGAGCTTAAGGGCACATCCCGTTGGCTGTGTGTTTTCCGGCTATGGGTGTGTCCAGCCGGCGTTGGGATCACTGAACCCCTGTTTGTCTCCTCTCAGGCTGGGACAACTGGAGCTCGGATGAAGGTTTCACTGAGGAGCAGGAGAACAGGTGACGCGTGCTTTATCGCTTCAGTGCTTTTCTCCCACAAGCCCTTGCATGTGGGAAGGTGGCAGGGATCAGAGACCCTCATCTCGTTCCAGTAGAAGCTGCTCATACAGGGGCCCACCCCTCCTGGAAACAATGTTATCAGGAGTCGGAATGCTGCTAATCACATCTTGGCTGCTTACCCGCTTAACGAAGGCATTAAGACAACAGTTCAGTTTGCTCCTATTCAGTAACACCTGCTAAATGTTCATCGTTTCTCAGAGAGCAAATAGAAACGCATAGACTGTAAAGAGGGGTGATGTCATTTTACCATAGCAGTTGAAGTTCACATGTCTTCAGTACTGGCTGAAATGTGTTCTCTGTCCTGGATTGAAGGCATTTAAGGTGATGGTGAAGTCCAGTGGCTTTATAAATGACTGGCACCTAGCTGGTTGCTTTCTCTTTGTGGCCACAGGTCATGAGGTCATCCAGTGAGAGCCACTTAGGGCCTGTACTCCTTTTCCTGGAGAGCTGCCTTCCAACAGGTTTTGCAGGTTTCTAATGTCTGAAGTCTTGCCACCCTTTATGATCAGTTGAGCAGCAATGAAAAGTGCTATTATAAAGTAATCCATTACAGTTAATTGTGTAAGGGATTGCTTACACAAGTTACTGTGATGGATTGTAACTACAATGTGTAGAGCCATTTAAATGTTGGGGATCACCCTACAGTTATGTACTTTAGATCACTGTAACTGAGGAGTAATCCATTACAGTTAGTGATCTACTCTACAGTCACATGCTGTAGGTCACTGTAACCAAGTAGTAATCCATTACACCTAGTGATCCACTCTGCAGTCACATACCGTAGATCACTGCAACAGAGGAGTAATCCATTACAGTTAGTGATCTACTCTGCAGACACATACCATAGATCACTGTAACCAAGTAGTAATCCATTACAGTTAGTGATCCACTCTACAGTCACATACCATAGATCACTGTAACAGAGGAGTAATCCATTGCAATTAGTGATCCACTCTACAGTGACATACTGTAGATCACTGTAACAGAGGAGTAATCCATTGCAATTAGTGATCCACTCTACAGTCACATACTGTAGATCACTGTAACAGAGGAGTAATCAGTTGCAGTTAGTGATCCAGTCTACAGTGTCATACTGCAGATCACTATAACAGAGGAGTAATCCATTGCAGTTAGTGATCCACTCTACAGTGACATACTGTAGATCGCTGTGATCACCGTTTTTAAAACGGTTCCCCAAGCCTCTTGCCCATGTGAAACTGTAATCCCTAAACCGAGCACTCGTCCTCTGTCTCTGCGCAGGCGACTGGCTGACACGGCCAGCCGGGTCTACAAAGGCATCCAGCTGTTCAGCCAACTGTTCGAGGACCGGGCCCAGGAGCTCCAGGCGCTGGTGGACGAGCTGTGGCAGATCGCCGACGGCGTGGACCGCTTCCACCGCGGCGCGACCATCGCCAGCGTGACGGGGGGCGTGGTGAGCGCGGCCGGCGGGATCGCCACCATCACCGGCCTCATCCTCGCCCCCTTCACCTTCGGGGCGTCCGTGATCGTGACGGCGGTGGGGCTGGGGGTGGCCACGGCCGGCGGCGTGACCAGCGCCTCGGCCACCGTCTCCGACTCGGTCAGCAGATCCTGGGACCGCCAGAAGGTGGAGAAGGTCATCCAGGACTACCAGGAGAGGATGAAGCCGATCCAGGAGTGCCTGGAGTTCGTGAAGCACGGGATGGAGAACCTGCAGAGGCTGGATTACTCCGGCTTTAACGAAGACATCGCCCGGAAGGCCCTGCCCAGCGCGGAGGGGGTCTTCCAGGCGGGGGCCAGGGCCGGGAAAGGCCTGGCCAACGTCTCGGAGATCGTGAGGGTGGTGCAGCTGGCCGAGGTGGCCTCGGGGGCCGCCCGGGCCGTGCGGGTGGCCAGCGTGGCCACCGGCGTCCTCTCGGCGCTCTTCCTGGGGCTGGACGTCTTCTTCATCGCCCGCGATTCCATGGAGCTCCACCGCGGCGCCCGCACGGAGCTGGCGGCAAAGATCCGGGAGGTGGCCGGGGAGCTGCAGGCGGGGCTGGTGGAGCTGCACGAGATCCTGGGGGAGTTGCGCCAGAGCACCGGGAAGGGGGCCGTTCCCGAACCTGTTCCCGAGCCTGCTCCCGGCCTCAGCTAGGAGGGCTTGGAGAAACGAGCCCGGGATTTCTCAAGTTAGGGACGGAGACTCTGCAGAAGAGGGATCGTGCCTGTTTTGATTAATCCGTCACCGGGAGGCGTTTCGGGGAAAATGAAGGAGATTGCTGGGATTTCATCCGAGCCCTGTATGGCACTCCTGAGGCTAAGCTAGTGACTAAATACTCAACCCTGATGATACCCCAACCCCAGAGTCACAACCCCGGCCATTCCTCTGGTCCTTACCCTACCCTGACCCGCGATCTAGGGTCCCCCAGTCCTGTCCCGGCCGAACCCCAGGTGACCCCAGTGCCCGCTGTCTTCCATCCAGCACAGCCGCCCTACTTGCTGAACGGCAGCACTGCGCCTCTTCTTGTAAGGCACTGGTCCCGCCGAGGGCGAGAGTCCAGGTTCAAATCCATACGTCTCCCCTACTTGCTGAACCAGCCCTTGCGCTGAGCACTGGTTTGAAGTCCTCTTCCGTAGTTCGCCACGTCTGCTGAGCCTCACCTTTTCGGCCATTTCCGGACATTCAAAGGTTCATTTCGACGTGTGACAGCTCCAGAACTGGACACAATGAGTGTGGAGGCTGGTTTAGACGATGTTTTGGGCTCGGTTAAATAATCGAGAGCTCAAAGACCAGCCCATACAGAGATCAAGGGAGCCTCTTCCCTGTGCCTTATTCTCCCTGTTTCCCTAACTGGAACTCTAGCGATTGTGGAAGCTTTTCCCTCAGTAAGACAACAGAACCAAATGTACTGCAGGGCTCTTCTGCTACAAGCCTCTGACAGGGGTTACTCTGCTGAAATGTAGAAACGGTCGATATGAAGAACTGTGCACATATCTGTTTTCTCTGAAATTCTTCTTTTCCGTGTTAAAGTGGCCCTAAAAATGCAGCTTTTTAACCTCCTGTGTATTCATAAAAGAGCTTTGAAAGAAGGAACGTGCTGTTTTTGTCATATTTGGATTGGTGTGTGTGTGTGGGGGGGGGAGTCTTCAGCCGAGACGAGATGGAGAATTGAAGTTTTAAACTGAGCCGTAATTCCCTGGATGTCTTGATGCTGTAGCGCCCCGACTCGCTCTGTTGGTAGAGCATGAGACTCGTGAACTCAGGGTAGTGGGTTCGCGACCCCCGTCGGGCGCAAGGCTCTCTAATCACCCATACTGGGCAGCGGCAGCGAGGGGCGGTGTTGGTGATGGAGGGTCACATATCTGTGATGGGGGAACTGTACATAACGAATGCAAGAAATTGTATATGGCTAATAAAGTGAAACAAGATCACTTTACTGGCCATATACAATTTCTTGCATTCGGAATTTGTCTTTTTGCAGACCCCAGATTGCTCTCCATGAAAGACACAGGCACACAGACAGGGAGGGAAGCTGAGGGTCAGAGCATAGGATCAGCCATTGTATAGTATCCCTGGAGCAGTTGGGTTAAAGGCCTTGCTCAGGGGCCCAACAGAGTAGGATTCCTCTGCTAGCCACAGGATTTGAACCAGCAATCTTCTAGCCACAGGCACAGATCCGTAGCCACCGAGCCACGGGTGGCCGTGAGCTGACCCTCACTTGACCCTCACTCATCCATCCCCCGCTGGTACTGTAGGCCAGTCCGCTCTCCTGCTCTGTGGCGAACCGGGCAAAGAGATGGCAGAGCAGCGAGTGGGCTGTCTGTCTACAGACCTGGGGCTTTGCCAAATGGTCCCGAGGTCGTCTGGAATCCGCAGACGGTGGAGAAACGTCCGCGGGGGGGGGAGTGCTCGCCTGACCCATCCCCCCCTAGTCCCGCCCAGACCTAGGGCAGCTTTTCGGGAGGGTCCAGGGGGCATCTGGTGGTGCAGGGACCCAGGCTGCAGTCCCTTCATTGCTTTACAGACAAGCAGGGCCAGTACTATATATACTTATATGTATATACATATAACAAGTAATAGGTTTATTTCATGCTGGAAAAAAAGAAGAAAGAAAACATGACGTTTCGGCAATGGAGCCATCTTCAGGTGTGAGCATCTATAGTACAGTATATACAACAATTACAACAATATTTACAATTATAGTACAATACTATATATACACAATGCAATACTATATATATATACAATATATATACACAATACTATACTATATAATACTACCTGTATACTTCTACAGTATAGAGCTTATTACTTCTCCCATGAGACAGGACACAAAAAAACACATGCGCCAGCCCCCACATAACTGTATGTGATTAACTGGAAAATATTCCAAGCTGACCATCCATTTTCACCAGGTGCCATTCACCAGGTCCCAGCTGGTATCTCTTCACCTGGACATAATAAATAATAAGAATGTTTATTCCATGCTGAAAAGATAAGAAAAGAAACAATTTTGGCTGCAGAGCCTTCTTCAGCTGTGTAATATAATAATAATTTCTTACACAGCATTTGCTAGAAATAATTCTTCCTTTCACTTATATAGCACTTTTCTGGACACTCCACTCAAAGCACTTTACAG